CAGTGTGAGAGGTGTTGTGCAATTCTCTATTTCATCGTGGTTTTGGGTCTGAAATCAAATAAAAACTTGTTCTTGCTGCTTTTTTCCCCTAAGTGGACGTGCCCCCGTGGAGGGGGCTCTTCCAAATGTCTGTGTCAGGCGTGTGGGGAGGGGTTTTATTGCTCTGGAAAAGTCAAATGGGAGGTTTGCAACCTGTGCTGGGTCACTGACTCAGTGCCTTTGGAAGGGCAGGGCAAGGAAGAGGCAGGGTTAGAGCTGTGGGTGAAGTGAAATCGAGCCCAGTTTCACCACACAACTGCTCCCTGGGCAACACCAGCCTTCCAAAAATGCCAGGGGGAGCCTTTGGGCCCTAAAATGCCTGGTTTGAACTCAAGGAGTGCCAGAGTGGCACAACAGGTTGGGAAAAAAAACAGTCTCCGTGTCCAAATTTAGCCTCAGTTTGCAGGAGGGCAGGGTCAGGTGGGATACTGGGGGGAAATCCCTCCCTGTGAGGGTGGTGAGGGGCTGGAATGGATTTCCCAGATTAGCTGTGGCTGCCCCATCCCTGGGAATGTCCAAGGCCACGTTGGACAACCTGAGCTAGTGGAAGATGTCCCTGCCCATGGCAGGGGATGGCACTGGGTGCTCTTCAAGCTCCCCCCCAACCCAAACCACCCTGTGATTCCACGAAATCCACCCCTCTCTTTGGGATATAACGTGCTCACAGAGCAGCCTGCTGGGCTGGGAGCAAACCATAAATCTTTGCAGGCACATAATTATGCCTTAAATACAAAATAACCGGTTGTTTGGTGCGAAATGCTGAGCAGAGCTGCCTCCCCTGAGGTCTTTGCTGCACGAGCTCAGGTCCCACGCTCTCGTCTGGAGCTGCCCTCCCTAATTTACACCCTGGTGAAGGTTTCAGTGCCTTTTTTTTTTTTTTCTTTCCCCCTTCACTGCTCTTTTCTGAGCAGCTGACAAACATCCACAGCGTGGCTGTTGCTGTGGTGGAGAAGGAGTGTGGGATGCAGAGGGTGGGGAAAAGGTGATCAGGTGTCCAAAGGGGCTTTTTTGGAAGGGTTTGGATGTAACTTCTCCCTCATAAGCTCCTCGTGAAGGGACTTGTGTAACCCCAGCAGGTGAAGAGGTGTCTGTGGAGTTCACAGTCTCTTAATCTGCTCTGACACTCGTCCAGGGCTCCACAGGATTCCTGGTGGGATGTGCCAGCACAGGGAACAGGCTCTGGAGGTCAGGGTTGGCCCAGGGCGTTCCACTGACAGCCTGAGGTGAAGATGATGCTGATTTTTTTAAAACTTCGTGAAGTTTTGTGGTTGTATTTTCTATCTAGGGTCACAAACATCTCGTATTAAGTTCCCCCAAGCTTGATTTAGGGACAGTTTTAGGGATATGTTTTACTGCAGGGCTGGTTACTCTGGTAAAACACCTTCACACGTTTCAGAAAACGGAATTATTTTCAGTAAAAAGATGCATTTTGCCAGAAATAATTCTGCTTTCTGAAGCTGTACTGAAAGAACACAACGCCCCATTTCCCTGCAGCCCCAGAGACAGGTAAAAATTCCAGCAGCAGAGTTGTCTGGGCGTGGGATTTGCACCATTTGCATCCACTTTGACTGAAAATAGATCCACGTCCACAGGAGGGAAGAGCTCCGGTGCTGTGGGGAAGCAGCAGCTTCTCCTGAATGTTGAGATGGGTGATGAAATATTAATTCTCCCAACTGAGTCACCAGCCAGACTGGATTGAGTCTCCTGCCTTCCTAAACGGAGCAGGAGTTGTACAACTCCATGAACAACTTTGGTTTCCCAAGGAAATGAGGCTTGGGAGACGTTCCTGCTGCTGCCTGAGCGTTTCCTGCTCCTGGCAGCATTTGATCCGTGCCTGCTGCAGCCAAATCAGGCAGGAGGCACCCATCTGAAAGTTAAATTTCTGTACATTTCAGGAAAATTAAGTTCCTTGGGAAAGGAAGGGGGCAAAAAAACCCACCCAACCTCAGCCATTGAGCAGCGGGGGGAGGGAAACGTGAGCTGGGCTTTGGCTGGGGAGGAGACAATCCCTGTGGGGAGATGAACTTGCAGGAAGGTGACTTTGTTGCCTTGGTGTCCCTGAGGGTGGCAGGGAAGGCCTGGGATTCCTCTGGAGGATTGCAAGGAACGAAAAAAAAAGGGTGGAAAGGGTTGAGAAGGTGTCAGAGCACGGCTGGGCTGGGGACAGAGGGACCTGCCCTGGGTCTTGTTTCGCTGGGGCAATTAGTAAGGAAGGGAGGCAGAGGCTGGTGCCTGGGATGAGGCACTGTCTGAGCTGGGATTAAAATCCCGTGTGGATCCTGCTCAAGGAAACCTGGGAGTCCTGAAGTGTGAGGGGTTTTCCTGTGCTGAGTCAGCACAGCTGCCCAGAACTCCTCTGGTCCAGACCTGGAGCTGCCTCCTCTTAACTTACAGAATGGAGTGATTTGGGATGGAAGGGACCTTAAAGGTGATGTGATTCCAACCCCCTGCCACGGGCAGGGACACCTTCCACATGCACAGTGTGATGTTTGTGGCTCAGACTCTGCCTGGATTGGCTTCTCCAGAACCAGCATTGAAAACTCCCTACCTAAATTTCCACTTGAATCCAGGATAAACTTTTCTGAATCCCTGGAGATCCCTGTGCAAAGAAGAGGGGACACCCCATCCCCTCTGAAGGACAAATGAATGACAGATGACCTGCTGGCTTGGTTGGGGTTCCCTTGGAAGGCATGGGGGTTTTTTTTCCCTGCTGTAACAACCCCCTTTCTGCTCCCAGGGGACGTTGGGAACTACTATTATGGCCAAGGCCATCCCATGAAACCCCACAGGATCCGGATGACCCACAACCTGCTGCTGAACTACGGCCTCTACAGGAAGATGGAGATCTATGTGAGTTGTGGGGCTGCTCATCGAGGGAAATAGTTGTGAAAGGTCACAGTTGATGTGTCAGGTTTTCACTGTGGAGCTTCAGACTTGTCGAGGAAAAAAAATAAACAAACCCTTAAGGGTTGTGCTGATGTATTTCTGGGTTTTTTTCTGAGTGTTGTAGTGAGATGTTCTGTGCTTCAGAGGAGCTTTGGAGACTGGAAAGCTGCTTTTTTTCCCCTTGCAAATTAAATTTGTGTTGTGTTTCTGCATATGTGACACACTCCAGTAGTGGCATTTCTAAAGAAAGCGAGTTTCTCTTGTTTGACACTGCTGGTTTGATACTTCTTTATTTTTTTTGCAGTTCCTGGGAGTAAATATGGGATTGGAAAGGGGGAATTTATTCTTTTTTCTTTTTCTGTCCTTGCAGCGTCCTCACAAGGCAAATGCAGAGGAGATGACCAAGTACCACAGTGATGACTACATCAAATTCCTGAGGTCCATCCGCCCTGACAACATGTCTGAGTACAGCAAGCAGATGCAAAGATGTGAGTTGGGCTGCAGGTCCTGCCAAGGTTAAAACAAAAACCCCAATGGATCTGGGGAATCCGTGGCCTGTTGTGGAGGTTTGGGATAAAAAAGAGCAAGAAGAACCAGGGGGAAATTGTCTTTCTCCTGACTTCCCTTTTGATTTTTTCTGGCAGATCAGTCATTTTAAAGATGGCTCAAGCCAAAAAGCAAAAAAAAACCCTTTTGACCTGCCTGTCTTTATGTTTTTGTGTTGTGTTTTGATGGGAACTCTCCTAAAAAATTCCCTTCCTGGCTCAGAGGTGACTGACCAGCTCCATTTATGAGCTGCATGGATTTTGAGTTAATGTGCTTGTCTTCAACCAGAGGTGGGAAAGAGTTGGGTAAATCAAACAAACAAACTAAAAAAACCCCTTCTCCTCAATTATCCTCCAAACCTGCAGTAACTCTGAAGGGTTCTCAGGGCAGTGGCAGTTTGGAAGGGTTGAGATCCACGTTAATACCTGGCAGCTTTGTGTCAGGATGGTTTATTGTGAGCTGATGTCTTGTTCTGACCCCTCCAGCCCATGGAAAGGCTCTTTAATGGTGATTTTAAGGTTACAGGGACCTGGTTTTGGTCTCCCTGCAGCTTTGAGCTCACGGGTTTTTTTGGCAGGGGCTGCAGCAAACTAGATTTTTAGCAAATACAGACAGAGTGGGGGAGGCTCAAGCTTCATTTAAACAGTATTTTGGTCTTGGAAACCTGGTGTGAGCTGAAGAGGACAGATATTAAGACCCAAGCACATAAGAGGAAGGGGGGTAATATGGTTTATGAGTGATATACTCCCTACAGTCCATGATATTCCTTAATACACCAAATGACATATAGCAAAGTGCATATTTCCCCAAAGTGACCTGTTTACCCCTGGAGCAGATACAGCTCATGAACACTCTGCTCTCTCTGGCAGACAACATTTTTCTGCTCTGTGACTTCCCCAGAACTAAGGCAAAATGTGAAAAATCATCTTAAAGACACAAGGACAGAGCTTTTCTTCAGCAAACCCTGCAGAGGAGCAGCCTCTGTGTAGCTGGAGAACAGCTGTAAAGGGGGTGAACTGATTCTGCTGATGCCAGACTTGGGCAGGGTAACCCAGAGGGGCACCAGGTTTAATTTCTTGTGATGGGAAACGCACAGAAATGGGTGACTTAAATTCTCCTCACTCGACAGAGGAGGTTTCCAGCCACCTCTGCAAGCTGATTATCCAAACTCTGCCCTGCTGAAACAGCTGGAAAGTGGGAACAATCACTTCCTTCTGGGTGTCCCTGTCCCCAGCTGGGAGCACTGGGGCTCCCTCCTCACACAGCCTTTGTGGAGATGACTTTCCAACTCGTGCTGCTCTTGCCTTTCTCATTAAGCAGAGAAGGGAAACACTCCATGGATGTTGTTACAAAAAAATACAGGTTTACTTTTGTTTCCCTGTTGGTAAAACCAAACCTTGCCAAATCTGGGTTAGACACAAACCTGCTGCTGGGTGTTTTTTTTTTATTTTTAATAGTGGAAGTGGTTCCAGCAGAAATTTGCCAAGGGCAGAACTGCAGTTCTGCTGAGAACCTAAAAACTGGCTGATGTTGGTCACTCGTCCACTTTGCCTTTCTAATCTGAGTGGTGATATAAGCTTGGGGTTTTTTTGTGGGTTTACCTCACTAATTGTTTTATTTTCTTCTCTAGTTAACGTTGGGGAGGACTGCCCTGTGTTTGATGGGCTGTTTGAGTTCTGTCAGCTCTCTGCTGGAGGCTCTGTGGGTAAGATCACAAGTCGTGTGCTCTCTCCCTTTTAAGCAAATTCATTTTGTGTGGTTCTGTCCAGGAAACACATTGCTGTAGGGGGTGCTGGGGAAGCTCTGTGAACCTATTTCTGATTTCCTTAATAATTAGATCCAGATTTCTCCCCGTGTGAGTCCAAGCTCTGCATATGGATGGATCCCTCTCCATTTTAGTCTGGGTTTCCTCACTGAGTATGTGAAGGGCTCTTTAAGTGGTGTAACAGCATCACCAGTGGTAGAGTTAAACCAAAACCACAGCAACAGCATTTAATTTAAAAAAAAAACCAAAAAACAAACCAAACATGAGCTGCTTTACATTAAAAAAAAAAGTTGTTAAAACCTTACTGTGGGCAGGGATAACCTGGAAAGGAAAGAACAGGGTTGCTTTATCTGTTGGTTATAACAAAAAGCCTGAACATGAACAAGGAGCTGAGGGGTTTCAGTGAGTTCCCTCAGAGCTGGAACATTGAAATGCTTTCACAGCTCTCACAGTTGCAGCCAGGCAGGTGTTATTGTGCTACAGAGCTTTGTGGCTGCCACATCACAGTGACACCTCCAGGTCTGTTGTTTCCTGTGACGTGGTGCAGCAGCACCCACAGCCACTGGCTGCACTGTGGTTTTTGGAGCAGCTCTGAGCTCTCTGGTCCCAGGGCTGGAGATTCCCCAGAACAGGTCGTTTGCTTTGATCCTGAGAGACTTGCACAGGGAGTTTACGGAGGGGGCTGAGGGAAGGGAACTTCCTTTGCCTAAATGCACATTCAGCTGAAGAGGTGTTGGATAAAACCTTTCATCAAAGCCTTCTGTTGGGGGCACTGAGAAATCCAGAGTGTGTTCAGTGGGACCCCAGCTGGGCACTTGTTTGGGCACAGTGTTTGCTCTGAGGCAAAGATGGGAAGCAATGAATGTGTGCAGATAGAGCAGAACCTGCATTCTCTCTTCCCCCTTTTCTTCCCCCTTTTCTTCCCCCTTTTCTTCCCCCTTCTCTTCCCCCTTCTCTTTCCCCTTCTCTTCCCCCTTCTCTTCCCCCTTCTCTTTCCCCTTCTCTTTCCCCTTCTCTTCCCCCTTCTCTTCCCCCTTCTCTTCCCCCTTCTCTTCCCCTTTCTCTTCTCCCTTCTCTTCCGCCCTTCTCTTCTCGCCTTCTCTTTCCCCCTTCTCTTCCCGCCCTTCCCTTCCCCTTTCCCTCCCCTTCCCTTTATCAGTTTGGGGACACATCCAGTGTTAAACCCTCGTGCTCTGTGCAGGACCCAACCCCCCCCATGAGCAGCGCCGTGGGAAGGGCCCGTCCCTGCCACAGCCCCTTTGCTCTGGTTTTTACCTTCTCTCACTGTGCCCCCCCAGCCAGTGCAGTGAAGCTGAACAAGCAGCAGACAGACATTGCAGTGAACTGGGCAGGAGGCCTCCACCACGCCAAGAAGTCGGAGGCTTCTGGCTTCTGTTACGTCAACGACATCGTCTTGGCCATCCTGGAGCTCCTGAAGTAAGGACAGCACCTTCTACCCCTCTGCCTGCCCCTCCTGCCCCATCTTCTCCTTCCCAGCCTTTCCTTTTTGGAGCTGTGTTTTCCCAGGAGGGGCTGAGTCAGCTTTTGGGGTGTCTCCTCCAGGGATGTCTGTGTTATGCACCGTGCAGGGAGCAGAGGCTTCTGGAGCGTTGTGCTGGTGCCCTTTGTCCCTTCCCTCTGCCACCCACCCTGGAAAAGAGGGCACAGCTGGCACGTGTGACAGCTCCTGGCTCAGGGCAAACCTCAGTGGGAGGCTTGGGCATAAAAAAGCAGTTTATTGGCTGGAGCTGAATAAACTGAGCTGAGTCTGCCCTCAGCAGCAAAAGGCACTTTATTTTCCTCTGTGGGTCTGTTCCACCGCTGACCAAGGCGTGTGTCCCTCCTCTGCAGCTCTTTCCCTTGTGGAGCCTGGGAACCAGCCCCAGATTCCCTTGTTCTCGTTTTTTTCTGCTGGTGAAGGCAGTTTTTACTCTGAACAAATGGCATATCCTGGCTCCTTTGTGCCCCCCAGGTATCACCAGAGGGTGCTGTACATCGACATCGACATCCACCACGGGGATGGTGTGGAGGAGGCCTTTTACACCACGGACCGTGTCATGACCGTGTCCTTCCATAAGTACGGGGAATACTTCCCAGGAACAGGGGACCTGCGGGTGAGACTGAAGGCCTGGCTGAAAATTGCCCTGGAATTTGCCCTTCTCCATCTTCCACTGCTCTCCTGGGTGTTCCTGCTCTCACAGTGACACCCTTTTCCTGAGGGCAGAGGTGTAGGTTCAGCTGGTGGAGTGGGAGCTTTGTGCCTGGGGTCGTGTATTGAACCCAAGGCTTTGGTGTCACCAGTATTTTGCTCAGAAAAGGGGCTCTGAAAATGGTGAGTTGGTCATCTGTAGCTGCTTGGTCACCCAGGCTCTTGGGGGAAGGTTTCTGAGTGGATTTATCCTGTTGGCATTTCTTCCTGTAACTCAGCTCTTTGTGTTAATGAGTCCTGGTGGTAACTGTGTCACTCAGGTAGATCCAGGTGTCCCTCTGTGACTTCTGGCACTTCCATGCCCCATTTCTCAGGGGTGAAGGGTTCTTTACCTCTTTTTATGTGCTTTTCTAGTGGAATTACGTTTTTCTGATCTAAGTTCTCCTGCCTTTCACCCGTGAGTTGTGTTTTTTCAGCCCTGCCCAGAGTTTGTTGCTGATGCAGCTGCAGCATTTTTATCCTGGTGCAGCCACTGTGCACCAGGAACGAATTAATTATTTTTAACAAGTTATTTTTAATAAGACACCCGGGTATGAGAGTGATAATAGAAATGAAAATATATATCATTTTAAAGCAGTGACATGGTCAGCCCAGACTGGGACTGTGGGCTGGGCTTAATATTGGGATTACACTGCTGGAATTCCAGGCTTCCCTTCCCGGTTTGGAGCACAGTTTTGGTGTTCCAGCTGGACTTCTGGTGAGCTGTGGTCTCTCCTCTCTCCCTCCAACAGGACATTGGTGCAGGCAAAGGCAAGTACTACGCTGTGAACTATCCCCTCCGGGACGGCATCGACGACGAGTCCTATGAAGCCATATTCAAGCCTGTAAGTGAACTCCTCCTCGCTGAGTGGGTCACACTTTGTCCCTGGAGCCATTCTTTGGGGAGGCTGATTGGGTTTTCTGTGCTGAGCCTCACCAGGGGCTCTATTCCCCCCGAACAATCGCGGCCTGTCCGGGAGCTCCAGCGCCTGAGAGCCCCAGTGTTCCAGGGCAGGGGAATCAGCAGCTGTGGGAGCACCAGGGATGTCTTCGTGGCCCTGGCTGACATGGGTGTCACTGTGCTGCTGTGACAGTGTCCTGTGCAGAGCATGTAACAAGGGGTTTGTTGTTTAGGTGATCTCCAAAGTCATGGAGACATTCCAGCCGAGTGCTGTTGTCCTGCAGTGTGGATCAGATTCCCTCTCCGGGGACAGGCTGGGCTGCTTCAACCTCACCATCAAAGGTAGGAGCACACAGTGCCTGTGCTGAGCTGGCATCACTGAGATTCCATGGAAAAGTGTGTTCTTATGCCATGAGTGTGACCTTTCCTCCCCCCACCACTGCTTTTTCTGCAGGTCATGCCAAGTGTGTGGAGTTTGTGAAAAGTTTTAACTTGCCCATGCTGATGCTGGGAGGGGGCGGCTACACCATCAGGAACGTGGCCAGGTGCTGGACCTATGAGACTGCTGTGGCTTTGGACACCGAAATTCCCAATGGTAATTCTCCCAGACTGAGGGCCAGTGACATTCTGGAACAACTCAGGGAAGAGGTGTTGCTGGGGCAGAGGCAGGAATGCCAAGATTGCTTTTGTTACCTCTCGGTTGTTTCTGTGGGAGAGCTTTTGGATGCCCTGATTTGCTGTAGCTGTTCCAATTTCCATTCCAGTGGCAGCTTGGTGTTTATTCCTTTTCATTTGCCCGCAGAGCTTCCATACAATGACTATTTTGAGTACTTCGGGCCAGACTTCAAGCTCCACATCAGCCCCTCGAACATGACCAACCAGAACACCAACGAGTACCTCGAGAAGATCAAGTAAGTGGTCGCTCCTCCTGGGCACTGGCCCTTCCCTGGGGCCTCCAGGGAGGCACCTGCTGACCGAGGTGTTCCTTCCCTGGGCGGCTCCAGGCAGCGCCTCTTCGAGAACCTGCGCATGCTCCCGCACGCCCCCGGGGTGCAGATGCAGCCCATCCCCGAGGATGCTGTTCAGGAGGACAGCGGAGATGAAGAGGAAGATGACCCTGAGAAACGCATTTCAAGTACGTGCTTGTGCCTGGCTGGGTGCCAAAGAGCCCTGAGCTGCAGGAGGAGGAGGAGGAGGAGGAGAAGGGTGTAGGATTTAGATCTGCCCGGTTCTGGAGTCTCGGTTTGAATCCGTTTTGTGTTTCGTGAGATGAAGCACTTGATGCTGAGCACTGCACCCTTTGCCAGATGATTTCCATAGTGGAGAAACTCTAGACTTTAATGTGAGAGCCCAAGCAGTTCCTGGGATGTAGGTGCTGGGACAGAACCCTTTCTGGGAGACTGTCAGGTGTGATGCCAGAAGTGTCTTCCACCGTGGAAATGGTTTGTAGCCAGATTGGCCTTTAGGATCTGCCAGACAGATTTCTCAGTGGGAGGCTGGTTAACCTGCTTATGCTGTCAAGTCTAGACATCACACTGTACCTAATCCAAGTTGTCCATGTGATCTTGGATCCTGGGCATGAGCAGTGAGGAGGGATGAGTTAAAAGATGCAGCAGGTACAGTGTTTTTATCGTGGCCTAATCCTGACTTAGGTAGGCTCCTCAGTTCACTCCAGTGAGTAGATGTACCCAGAGAATTAGTGCCTGGAGCCTCCTGACTTGTAAATCTATTCAACCAACCTCTGTCCTCTCCACACTCAGTCCGCAATTCCAACAAGAGAATATCCTGTGATGAGGAATTCTCTGACTCTGAGGACGAAGGGGAAGGAGGGCGCAAAAACGTCGCCAACTTTAAGAAAGCCAAGCGTGTGAAGGCAGAGGAGGAAAAGGAGGAAGAGGAGAAAAAAGGTGAGCAGGAGAGCTGGGACCTGGAGCTCTGCCTGGCTGGTACTTTCCCCACTGCACTGCCGTGTGTCTTTGTTTTTTCCTAGATGAGAAGGAAGAGGAAAAAGCGAAAGAGGAGAAAGCAGAACCCAAAGGGTGAGTCTGGAGCCTGCTGGGAGGGTTGAGGGGGTGATGTGGCAGCTTGGCTGGCTTTGTCACAGGTTCTTAACGGGCAGAAGTTTGCAGGTGTTGAGCAGCCCCCCTGATAAAACGCTGTGAGAGCCTTCTCAGGGCTCAAAAATGCTGCTTAAAAAATCAAAATCAAAACACTGCACCTCCGTTCAGCAGTATGTTATAAATTTTAGCTGAAGAGGGGCCAGATGAGCAGCACTTTTAAGGCTGCAGCTCTGGCTTGTTGTTTGAGCCTGGACACAGCTCAAGCTGCCTGTTTAAACCAAATCCTTTCCTTCTTGCTTCCCCAGGGCGAAGGAAGAGCCAAAATCCACCTGAGCTGGACGGGCCTGTCCGTGCGTAGTTTGTCGTAGGTTTTTAGCTCCCGGGTTGCCTCCTATTCCACAGGATTTATATTTTATATATGTTTCTGTATATATTTCTATATAATTGTATAAATGACTTGAGGACTGTAAATTATTCCTTGCTGCACTCCTCGCTGGGAGCAGAGGGGAGGATTCTGCGGAGCAGCCAGACCTGCACTGCCCAGATTTGGTGACTGGGAAGTTTTCACTCTTGCCTTCCACTGCCTCCTTAGCGGGTCTGTAAACAAAAAAACAAACAAACAAACAAAAAAAAAATCACTTCCTTTGCTCTCTCCTCTGAAATAACCTTGGAAAAGAATAATTTAAGTAGAAGTAGTGTCTGCATTTCAGGTTAGGTGGAAAGATGGCCATGAATTCTTTTTGTTTGGTTTTTTTATTCTTCTTTTTTTTTTTTTTTTTTTTTTATGGGAGAATCCGAGTTCCCAATTGAAGCCTGTGAGAGACTATTCCTTTGGTCTTCAGTTTGATTCCACTGTGGCAAGTTAACTGCAAGCTGGTGCCACTTCTCAGGGTCAAATAGTGCAGTTCTTGAATAGAGTTGGTTCCTCCCTGCAGCAAACTCGTGGAAAGAGATGAAGCAGCTTAAAAACAACCTGAAAAGTGATTTTTTTTTTTTAATTTTATTTTTTCCTTTTTAAGTGAATCAGCCCCAGAGCCCAGATCTGGAAAATGCAGAATGAAAACCACCCGTGTGTGGTGGCTCAGTTTTCCAAGATCTGGCAGATCCAGGGAGTGTGGCAGCATTATGCACCTCGAGGAAGGGAAGGGATGGAGCTTTTATACCTGTTTATTTCTATACCTGTGCCCCTCTTTGTGGGGGGGAAAGTGAGTTACTGCCCCTTTGGCTTTGTTTTTCCTGCTCTTCTGCCCTTGGCTCCCAGCACTGATCCGTGTCCTGGGCTGAAACCACTGCAGAAATCCCCAATCCCTCTCCAGCCCAGCCCCCAGCCTGGCTGAGAACTTCAGTTGATGTGTTGTTAACTGACTGAAATACTATTTCTTTTTTTTCAACCTGAAGTTACAAACGTTTTCAAATTGAATTTTCCTCCCAAGGCCAGTAAATACGAAGAACCTTTTTTTTATCTGTTGCCTTCCTGAGGGAACAGCAGATGGGGCTCTGAACGCTCTCTACAGCTCCTTTTCCTCCTCCCACACATTATCTCACCCCCCGAAGGTCTTTTGTGACCGGCTCTGCCCCTTTCTTTAGCATCTCCTTTTGTACAGCTGATCATTAGCCGAGCTTTCGGTGGAAAAGTTTGGTTTTCAGGCAGTTCCGACTCGCTGCTCTCCTTCCTCAGGGGGATTCCTCCGGCCCTCAGGGGAGGACCTGGAACCTCCCCCGGGAGCGCTGCCGAGGGTTTCAACTCTAATAATGCTGCTAAAAACTTAACACAGGTTATTTTTTCAAAGGGTTTATTTTTTTAAAACGCTTCTTTCCCCCCTCCCTCCTCCCCTCCTCTCCCTTCCCGTTTTCCACCGTGAGTTTTTTAGTCTCTTTTGGATCCGGGTGACGTGTCACTCCTGCTCTTCAGTGTTTGTATGTGAAGCGAGAGAAGAAGAGATCAGTGTAACTTTGTGTCTGGGGGGGGGAGGGAGGGAGGGGAAATATATTGTGGTTTTTTAAAGATGCGTTTATTTTGAATTTTGAGAATCTTTTTAATAAAAACTGGTACATTTCTATGGTTGGTGTGAGTCTGGCCTGCTTTCTGCTCAGAGGGGACACTGGTGGGTGGGTGGGTGAGTTCATTTTCAGAGCCACAGCTGGATGTAATGTAGATCCCAACAAAAAATTCCAGGTGTAACAATATTTGGGAAGAGAGGTGAGTGTTTAATCCCATCCACCAAAACATTTTGTTTAGAATCTACTCGGTGAAAAATCAGTTTCTTTTATAAATGTCCAATTTTGTTACTTTTTTTCCCCCTCTTCCCTGAAAAATTGCTTTAGTCTAATTTGTAAATGTTTGGGGGGGGTTGTTTTGTTTTGTTTTTCTGTTTTGTTTTGGTTTTGGTTTTTTGGGGGATTTTGGGGGGTTTTTTTTGTTTTTTTTTCCTTTTGCCTTGGATTTTACAAAACACCCTTGAAATTCTCCCCCCGGCTCCTCTCTCTGGGAAAGGTGACTCAAAATACCACAGTTTTGGGAGGAGGGGGTGTTATTTGCTCACGGCTCCAACCGAGGGTCACTGGGGTGGTTTTTCTGTCCCAAATTCCAGCTGGGTTCTCCTCCAGCAGCATCCCTGGTGCTTAACTGGGTTTGGGGTTGGACTTGCAGCACTTTGTGGTGCTCAGAGCTCGCCTGGAAAAGGAATAATTAACAATGGGAAGGGCCGAACTTAATTCACCATTTGCACGAGCTTAATTCACCATTTGGATGAGCTTAAGTGGTTTTAACCTTGCGTGGAGCGAACCAAAATTCTCTAATTTAATTAGGAGCAGGTAAATTGTGCAGCTGATCACACCTGAAATGGCCACAGGAGCCAACTCTGCTGGTTTTTTACAGCTAAAAAAAATAAAAAAAAAAAACCACCAAAAAAGCAGCTTTGTGTGGGCACAGTTGACTTCCCAAACATTTTCCTCCCTGCTTCAGGGGGAACCCCGTTATCCCTTTCACGGGAGCACAGGAGCAAATCCTCCCCTCCTGGAACAAAAGCCACCCTCCACCCCTGTCCCCCCCGGTGCCTCCGCAGTCCCTCTGTTTTCCAGGGATTCCTAAAATGGCTGCCACGATGCAGCTCGGGCGGATGCACCGGGATGTGACAGACCCCGAAAGGGCAGCTCTGGTTCAAAAATGGGGCAAAACACCCCCTTTGTTTCCACCACCACCCCCCCTTCCACGACCAGGGATGACTCCCCTGCTCCCTTGGGAAGCGGGTCCCTTGGTTTTGCTTCCCAGAGGGATGTGCTGCACAAAAAAACCAAGGAATTTTGGGGGCATTTCCACCTACCTCGAGGCTTGGGAGGAGCCTGGATGGTCCTCACCCCTTCCCAGGGTGGTGCCTGTTGGGCAAACAATGGGGTTTTTTTTTTTGCTCTTCTCCATCTTCTTTGCCAGCCAAAACAGCAGGAGCAGGTGGGAATTGGGAGCTGGGATGGGAATTGGGAGCAGGCCATGAAATGGAGGGGCTGGCGGGAGCAGCTCCCCCCGGGCTGTGCTCCTTCCTTCCTTGGGAAAAAAGCCACCTTTCCTCGGGAAAAGCCACCTCAACCCCTGTGCAGGTGACAGAAGGGATAGAGGCACCATTGTGCCCTTGGATTTCCCTTTGTTAAGGAAATCTTTGCTCCCAGCGCACGCCTTTTGTGCTCTTTTCAGCAGAGAGGAGCTAATCCTGCTCTAAAGCCACTAAAAAGAAAAAAAACCCACCACCAATTTATATCAGAGAAACCACGCTCAAAAATGGGAATTTCACCCAGTAACCTTCATTGTGAGAAAAATACCGGATTTTTCAAACTCACCACCCCCCCACACCAGGAAAAATCGGGTTGGATCTCTACAAAAACAGGTCCCCAGCAGCCAGTTGAGCAGCAATCCCGGGGTAGGGACAGGGCTGGTGTGGGAAAGTCCTTTGTGGTTGTGGCTCTACATCTGCTGCAAGTCAATTAAGTGTGAGCAGTGATTAAATGCAGCAGCTGTTGAACTAAATAAGCAACTGCCATCTTCCCTTGGCCCTTCCCTGGCATCCAGGACAAGAA